TTTTGGATTTCAGCCAGAAAGGCTCTACCTAGTGATATTACTACACAGCGCATTTGAGTTTTTATCTTCTAAACTGTTATGACTGTAATGTTTTTGGATAGTTTGTATTTCATAAGAAGGTAGATTATTATCTAAAGGTGGTGTGAATTCTTAAACAGAAAGCTCGAATTCATGCAATCTAAGATAACTAATGAGACAAGATGTTAAATATATAGTACAACCTTATAATAGAATAATAACATAGATCGAAACTCACTCTCATAAAATTTTATTGTGATGAGTCATGAACTTCTAAAAGTATACAGTTGTTATATTGATTGATTACAACTAACTTATGAAGTTACTTACTTATCTACACCTGTCACTCCCAATGGAGCATAGACCGGCGACCAGCATTCTTCAACTTACTCTGTACTGGGCCTTCTTTACTAGTTCTATCCAATCGCTGTTCACTCTTTTCATGTCTACTTCCAGTCCTCAGCATACTGTGTTGTTTGATTTTCTTCTTTTCCTTTAGCCTTGAGGGTTCCAAGTGAAGACTTGTCTTGTGTGCTTTCCCCAATGTTTGTCCTGTCCACTTCCAGCGCTTCTTGCTGATTTCTTCTTCAGTTAACTCTAGTTTCTTTTCTCCCAAAGTAGGTTGTTGCTGATGGTGCATAGCTAACGGATCCGAAGTATTTTGTATAGACAACTATGAATAAATACTTGTATCTTTTGGATGATGGCTTTCATAGTTCTCAGAATTTCTGCCCCACACTGTGGAACAGTCTTAAAATTTGTATTGAAAATTGTGGCTTTGGTTTATGTTGATGGTTGTTTTGAGTTCGTGATGTTGTTAAATTCTAGCAATGCAGCTCTTGCTTTGCCGATCCTTTCCTTCACATCTGCATTAGATCCACCTTGCTCGAAAATGGTGCTGTCCATATATATGTAAAGGTTTATTCATCCTCGAATGTATCTCCCATTAAGAGTAATTTGGTAGGCGTATGTTCTGTTGTATTCGAGAATCTTACTTTTCCCTTTGTGTATGTTAAGACCTTCTGCTGCTGATGATGATGATGCTGCTGCTACACTGGTCGCCTTCTTTTGCATTTGTCAGAGCGAACTAGCAGTGAATATTTAAGTATAATTACTGTTTAATACAATTCAAATTTTTCGTTGGTTGAACGTTTCATTTTCTACATGTTTTATTTACTTTCAGATGGCTTTCATCATTGTGTATTAACCAATACAAAAGATTTACGCAAAGCCATTGAACTTATGCAAAATCGTCGAACTGAAGACAATTGTGTCAGACTTCATGTTAGAGCAATACCAAAATTATTACGACCAGAATGTCGTTCACAAGTCACTGCGGATGCACAATTCTCAGGTCAATATTTACCTAGTTATTTAGAAGCGATCGGTTTACAACCTTCCATATATTCTGCCGGTTCAAGTGATGATGAAAAACGATCGTTTCGTCAAGATGCATCACCAAAACATGATTATCGTTGGTAATCAATGCAAACAGAAAAAACAAACAAACTGATACATACCCACTGGATAGATATCTAACTTCCTGGCAGAATAACCACATAAAGTTTAGGCTAAACATTGTTTCTTAAGACTACAACGAAAACAAAGATTTTCTTTTTCTGACATTCTTTTTTCCATTGTCTTTGTTTGTTTTTTTGCAATAACATTACCCCCGGTAATTTTGAAATTCTAAAAACACTATTCAGTGTGGTTGGTTATGTTGACATTCTACGCTAAACAAGTATAGTTTAGTCAAGAAAATAAATGTCTTCTCTTTCTAACATATCCATTGGTAGTTGTAACGCAATAGTTTTGCCAGAGTTCCATTATATTGATTATTTTTGGGATGTATACGTGTTTTTATGATAATTTGTAAAGTCTTTTCCCAAGTATATGATTTCTTTATGTATGTTGTAAACAAAAGATGAAGTGGTGAACTATTCTTTCTCGTTGTTGTTATTGATATTTCAAAATGACTACTGTTCACTTTAGTAAATGACAACGATGATTCCTTTTTGAACTGTACAAGATATTCATTGTCTCATAAATTTTTTCTGATTTAGAAAATGTCAAATTCTGTTTAGTTAATTTAGTGTAGACCATGAATTTCCAAACACCGGGTTAGTCAATATGGTACATGATATTAATCACAGTGAATAGATAACTAGTGAAATACACTCGGTGGTTAGAGGAAATGTATGTGTTGATGAAACTTCAGTACAGTGTTTGTTTATCTTAGAGTTTACTCGGTTTTATAAACAAACTATGGAGTTTTCCTTCTTCTATCGAGACAATTGAAATTTATTTTATAACCAGTATGGAACTGAAGAATACTTCTTTTCAGTATTTAGGTTAGTCCAATAGTTTCACTACAGAAAAAAATGGTCCTTTATGTTGAAGATTCACCTTTATTATAATGATACTTGAACTAGAAAAGATTACAATTTGGTTTTAATCTACAAACTATAGGAAACTAAATACTGTAATGTTAAGTGTTTGTCATCAGCAAGTCAGTCAGTCGGCTACAACTTAGAACTTCGTACGTTCGTACATAAGTTCAGGCTGCCACACCACATTAGCTCAGAGATGAGATCGTCAATTCATATTCATTAGTCGTAGAGATAGCAGAATTATTAGCGGTAATGGAGAAGATTAGGGTTCGAAGATATTGTTTGAGAAGTAAAATCCATTGAAATAAAGTTAAGAAGAGAAAGAATAATGAGATAAGGAATTCAGAAGATTAGAATTTGAGAGAACACAAATAATGGATGCATCTGCTCCATTTCAAACGATTTTTAACCACGTCATTTAAAGTTTCTAACCATCGATTACAACCATCTCGTGGACCCCAGCCAAGTAGTCTACACCTACTATCATGGCTCAGTTCACTTTTCAGTGACTTGGTGGATTTGTGCCATGTTTTGTTTCTGCTGCCAATAGCTCTCTTCCAACCTACTCTTATACTGCAAAACATAGCTCAATGAGACAGTCGGTGGTTGGGCATTCGTAGAACATGTTCCACCTACCCCAACTAATGAACATTTACTACTTCATCAATTGATTTGTCATCCTTAACTAGCACCCGTTTCCTAACAACTGCATTTCTTATTCGATGGTTCATGGACTATAAAAGTGAAATCACATAGCATGGAAATCCTTTAATCCACATGAACGCAGTGACTTATTGGTTAGGACTTTTGATTTTCGGCCAATAAGCCTCAGGTTCAAACCACGCTCCATCTAATTCAGTTTAGGCAACTAGGTTCACACCCACTAACCTGGAAAGTTAATTAATTTAATTGTCATATAAAATCGAGAAACAGGATCGATATCACTCTGAATGACTATAAGAACTGAATGATGAAAAGTTATCAGACTGATAAACATACACAATAATAGAATGTTGAATCAATAAGCACTTAGAAATGTATCATCATAAGCAGTCAAACGAATAAGTTAATACAACTTACGACTTAGGTAAAAATGATATTATACATGTCTCGATATTGACCATGAATTATTCTATAAAAAACGTTTAAAAAATTGTTCTACTTATGACTATTTAAGTAGTTTAGCTCAAAAAGTGAATTTAAGTTATCATCAAGCGTAAGTTGATTGGATTGAAATGAAATTCATTGGTGGCATAATTATTGTTTTTATCATATGATCTGGCAGAAAATGTCAATCACACGATAGAAAAGTACCAAACGGTAGTGATTACCAAATAATTCTAAAATTCATTAATGAGAACTGAATTTAAGGAGAGATATAGGATCACTAGTTCTCTGTTTTATTATTATTATTATTGCCATGAGTATTAACTTGAAATAAATAATCCAGCTTTTGAAATCAACAATCTTGACAACCCTATAATGCAATTACCTGTGCTCAATATTGACTAGCTTCATGATAAATCTTCTCCGAGTTCTAGTGAGAAGTCGTGACCAGTGGAGTTCAATCCAGTTCGCGTGTAGACAGTAACTACCGAAGACAGTGTATAAGGTTTCGTAATATCGTGAATTGATTGAAGTTAGATATGAACACCGTTAGATACCAGCTCATTGATCCAGAGGTTAAGCGTTCACGCGCAAGACCATAGGTTATGGGTTCGAATCGTGCGACGTGAAGGAGTCTTGGATAGTCAAATTCGTTTCAACAATACATTAACTGTATAGATTTTGATGGTGTATGTGGTACAATTTAAGACTTGGTAATTACATATAATCTGTTCCCGGTACTTGAACACTTTCTATATATATATGTACGTTAAAGTTGTCAGGAACAAAGCATTGCTAGGCCCCATTATTCGAAATCAAGATAAGTAAGCTGTTAAAATCTACAATAATAGTTTTAAAATGTAAATCTTTTGATTTGATTTTATGAATCAGCCTTTTAAACATTCTACTTGAGAAAACTCGTATGCCAAAAGTTTCTTTTGAAAACAAAACAGTATCTTTTGACTATAATCAGTCAATGTAGTTGAAAGTTCACTATACCTGTTTATCTTGTTAAATACAATAATGTCAGATCTTCAGTGCGTTAAGTTATTATAAGTAATTTAACTATTCTGAACAAAGATTTTGGATACATGTGAGAATGTATTTTTGGTTAAACAAAATATGAAGAATGATTGACGTTGTCGTCTAGTTAACAGTTGTAATACAAAAGTTGTTCGTCTAATGTTGATGACACTTAGACTAATTGAAATTAAAGTAAAATCTTTGGGTTACTTTATATAACTTTATAGGTCTTGTGGTGGCCAGTTTCTACGTGTTTTTAATCTTCGTAATTAGCCCCTCCAGAAAATCGTTACTAAATAGCGTCTGACGGTTTGTAAATCAGAGGGTAAACTCGATGTGTTGAGTACGTTTATTTTAGCACACCACAAATAGGGGATAGCATACCACAAGAAGACCTGTCAGGCACACTAGCGAGCGAATGTGCGAGTAAATTAACAAGATTAAAATGTTCGTATATGTACAAAGGAAAATGTCTGAATCATCGCAGTATCTAAGAGATTTACATTGAAGAGAATAGGATAAATATGCACGTAGGTGGTAAGCAATGCTCAGTCATACTGTAGTGAATGAGAACACAGGTGGAGGCAACCGAATTGTATTTAACGAAAATTACAGAGTTACTCAGTAAAATCGGAAAACCATATCGTAAATCGTTCATTTGCAAAAGATTAGTTCATCCTATGGAACTGGACTGTTCCTGTTGCCAAACATCAATCCATTGTCACTCTTCATGCGTTTCATACAAATTCCATTGTTTTCTGACTCTTCCTTTCTTGATCTTCCCCCCATATTATGCTGCCAGACTTTACGTTGACACTCACGTCATATACTACTTATAAGTAGTTCGCACCACAGCACCACAATACCAGCTCATACAAACCAGACAATAATTATAAAAGCCAATAGTACATATAAGTTATTGTTATACAAATGGCTTGGTTAAATAAATTAATCGAAAGGCTTGACCAAATTAGATGTAAGCGAATTCACATATATGTGGAGGCACTACAGTCTCATTGGATTAACTTTACCTCTTATATTCTTGAATTAGAACTTAATTTCCTATTTCGCTGCATAAAATTCAATCAATTCTTTGCCTAAATATTTATCATGTAGTGTCCTAATATTTCTTAAAGTTTAAGAGTTAGACGCTGACATCATTACGATTTTCAATTTCCCAGAAATCCTCTACTATTGAATCTTGAATGGAAAATAAAAGAATCAAAGTACGGAAAAAACTTTAATTTCATTGTTTGTTCTATATACAGAATGCAGAAGTACTCACAGGACAACATATGACCATGAAGCTCTAAAAGCTTTTTAAAATGTACTGGGATTGGTAGTTTTCAACCAAGGATAATGTAAACAGTTCATCACCTCCTAGAATTCTTTTGTAAGGTACTTACGAACTTTAACTCATAAAAATATGTTCAATATTTCTTTTTAGCTTATGAAGGATTTCTCTAGGAATCATAGAAGGCTCTCAGAACATTCAACACTGTTTTTTATTGAATATTACCAACTTTATAAACTTGCTCCACCATCTCTGTAATTTCGCCCATCTTTTCAGGCAACATTTCGGTATTCTTTCGATACCACAAAATCACCAGCAAATATATTCTTTACTATGGAAAAACCCTTCTTCTCAGTGACGGGCTAGTAATTTATATGTAGTGGTAATCATGATCAATCTCGACTCGACTAGCCACTTAAAAACTTCAAGAGGTAATTTCAGGTATTCTACTGAGAAGCTATAACTATCTTGATTTAGTCATTTCTTGCATGAGAAACCTTACCAGAGGCAAAATAGACAAGAGTCGAGTGATGTAATGAATTCATAGGAGTTTTATGTCCACTCAATTGATTCAGTACTCATTACGAAGCCTGAAGGCTTCATTCTCTGATGATGTAGATACAACAAGCTGTAAAGGTTCGTATAACGGTAAAGCAGATGTCCATAGCCAACTGTGCTTCAATGGTTGTCAATCTAATATCAGTCTGTTAAATCAAACAAAAGTTGCATTGAAGTGATTTCGAAAAATTTAGCATGTATATTTTACGACTATCAATCATAGAGATTGTAACCAGCAAATTTCATTCAAACACACACAGACTTACGGAAACATTGGATATCCTGTTTCAAAAAAAATGGTGAGGTTTTAAGAAAATTTATTTTTCAAGATTTAATATATCGATTTAAGACTAGACGTTAAATAAACTGAAAAGTATTTTTCATTATAGGGTTGTACAGATTGCTGAGTTACTGTGAAACGATGAATTAATCAATGTTAGACAACCAGCTGAAACATGGAAGTACTGGACGGTCGTTTCGTCTTGGTATGGGACTCATCAGCAGTGCGCATCAAGACTGAGGGTCTTGGGTTCAAATCATGTGGGAAGCAGGAGTCTTGGATGCTCACTGCTGGTAAGTTCAGGTTGAACTGACTGTCAAGTAATGTATATACTTAGACGAAGTTGTACGTTTAACAAAACTGAGACAATAATAATAATAATACTTTTTTA